CCCCCTCCCCCCCCCAAATCTTTGAGTGTGTGGGGATAATTCACGATGGGCTATACACAACTCTTTGAAATATGTCAAATATTTTTCCCTACATGTAATCATGTATCCCATATATCCCCTCCCCCAAAAAAATGTCCTTTACCAACTCTTGTCTACATTCAAATATGTCAAATCCCTATTAATCACGTCATCCCATCTCTTTTTGGGTCTTCTCCTTCCTCTTTTGCACAATTCACTTGTCCAAGGGTGCATCACGGTCTTTTTTGTGCGTGCCAACCCACCGCAGTAGAATCTCTCTCAATTTATCTTCAATTGAGGTCACGTCTACCTTCTTTGGAATTACCTCATTTCTTATTTTATCAAAATTTTTTCAAATGTTAGATTACAATATTCTAAGGGAAAACCATTACGAACCCTTTATATAGTGGCAGTTATAACCATTTCAAATGCTAGATTATAATAAACTTATAGTGGCAATAATAACCATTACGAACCCTTAATATAGGAAAACTAAGGGAATTTCATTAAATACAGAAGAATGAGAAACAGTAAATAAAACAAGCTTGAAGTGTAACGAATGGGTAATAAAGTTAAAGCTAGAAAAATCCTAGTTGACATTTCAACTTTCAAGTATAGGGTTAGACTAGTTAATTTGACCAAGCCTAAGGGGCAACTCCATAATTTTTCAGTACACAAGATCGGACTAGTTAATTTTTCTAAGCATATGAGTGGAGCGATAGTACTAGAAACAAAATCATAACATCAAAAAATATAAACTATAAAATATATGTCCATTACCTGAACAATAGCTCCTCCTCTTCCCTGTGTACTATGTTGTGCTTTTACCACCTATGTCATTTTCCATTCTCAATGTGAATTGCATTTTATATACCGAGTACTACATAACATATGAAACAAATTTTGAATTTTTAAAAAACATCTGAACTAACATTTTACCTGATAAATCTTTCCTTGAGTATAAAAAGAATTTTGATTCACCATCACAATTAAGAAACATGTTAGTCTTGTGCATGATTTGTTATACAAAATCTAATAATGTATCAACAAAACCTAACCTCTTCTCTCAATAACATTCCCTGGCTTCACCTACAAACCAAAAAGGCAGAATGAATTCATTAACGGGGAAAATTTTCCTTCTCGGGAATTAAGCTAAAAGCAAACAGAAATGTCATCCAAGAAAGCATATAAAAGATTTTTTTCCCAAAAGGAGGAACAGAGATAGAGCCAGCATCATAAAATTTCAATTTTGCTCCAATTTTGATCACTTCAACACAAAAACAAAGATATTTAAAATTTAAAAAACTCCATACTGTAACTCGATGTATTCAAATACAGATACATCTTTGCATTGTCATCAAATCACAAACAGCGTTTCCTAAAGTCGCCATTTGAAAAACAGAAACTGCACATAAATACATCTAATTGATGCCGGAAGCAGAACTTACATCGGCGCCGCGCAATTTGAGGCCTCGGAGCTGGGTGGTGGACCACGGGGATGCGAGAAGTTTGTGGGGTTTTAAGGCTTCAGAATCATTCTGAGAGTGGATCGACAAGGGTGAATGAATGCTAGTGGATAAAGCTCGGGAGATGCCATTGCGGAAAACGAATGAAGTTGAAAGGTAGAAGGAAGCGGCGGTGGCAGAGCAGATAGCTTGCCGGAGTCGGCTCATAATGAGATTGTTTCTCTCGGCTGGGCCAAATGGAGGTGAGTGGCGGGTGCTTTCCTTGTTTGTTAGGCTGGGCCAATTTATTTTTTTCTTTATTACTTAGGACTTGGGCCCGTTTCGTTCAGCTTATTTTTTTTCTTATTTTTCTTAAAATCTGATTAGATCAGATCGAATCAGATCAAATCCAATCAGATCAGATCAGATTTTATTAGACCAGATTAGTCCAAATCAAGTCCCATCAAGAATTATTGTTGTTGTTGTTGTTGTTGTTGTTAAAAATGAAAAAGAATAAACTTTAGAAACAAGTTAGATAGAAAACTGAGAAAGTAATCCTTAATTACTAGACGTTGAAAAAAATATTTTTAAAATACACTGACAATATCAATCTAGTTCTATTTTTAAAATACTCCGTACATTTTTTTTGCTATGTGTAATTTAAGTTTCTAAAATTTTGATCTTTTATAATGATGAGATATTTTAATAAAATCATATCTCTTCTATATACTCCTTCTGTCCACAAATAAACTTTACGTTCACTATTCACAGGGTCAAACTTTATTCACTTTGTTGGCTTATTTTCATCACCTATTTGATAAAATAATATAGTCATGTCACCTCTAGTTTTATAGATCTTTTGATATAGTTTTTAATATGTAATTTTTATTTTTTAATTCTATACCATTTTTCATATAAAATGATTTGAAAATAACTTCAGTCAAACATTGTAACGCGTAATGTAAAGTTTAATTTTGGACGGAGGGAGTATTTATTATCTAAATTTAATTACTTTTCAATGCATATATCAATTAAATACTTATTCTAATGTACATATGAAGTAATTATTAAAATATTAAATTAATATTCAAATTTCAAAAAAAATTAATCATAAAATAAAAATATTATTACATCATAATTTGAGTGATTATTCTAATATATGAATTAACTAATTTTATTTTATTAAAAAATCATAAAATAAAAAATATTAATTATATTATAATATTATTTATCATTACAATTTTCAAACGGAATTATAAAGTCAAATTAAATATTGATTTGGATTTTAAATCAAGTCATAATTGATTAGATCAAACCAGATCAGAAACAATCAGACCAGAGCAGAAACAATCAGATCAGATCAGATACAATCAGATCAGATCAGATCCAATCAGATCAGATCATATCAAATCAGATCAGATCCTATCAAATCAGATCAGAACTACAAAAAAATCAGATCATAAATAATAAGGCGAACGAAACACAACCTCAATGATCTATGCATATTGTAAGAAGTTGGAAACGAATTGGGTAAAGTTTAGTACGGAATAACCTCCCTATCATTTATTAATCAATTGTTTTATTATAAATAAAGCAAGTAACAAATATTGTATTGTAGTGAAAAGAGTATTTTCATAAAAATGAATGTTTCTCTTTAACAATTAAACTTCTTCAAAGATTTTATACCAAAACATTGAATTCTTTTTTTCTATATCTTAAATTAGGTGACACATTAGGTGTCATAAAAAATATAAAATTTATTTATAGGTAAAGAAAGTATTTTATTTAATAGGTTTCAATATTTAAATAAATATAATCAAACGAATATCATGTTGATGTATAATGAAAAAATATAAAATTTATGTATGGGTGAGGAGTGCATTTTATTTATTATTCTTAAAAAAATTGTAAATTTTATGATCTAGCAAATCCGAGAAACCTATTAAAAATATTTTTATGTATAGTCATGAAAAATAATTTTTATTTAAAATAATACTTTACATGGAAAATAATTTTAATTTTAAATTTTAATTCATGGGTTCAAAATAATTAATTACTCCGTATCATCTTCGAAAAAAAAAATGTGAAATAATGAAAGAGAATAAATATGGTTAAATTGCCACCTAATATGTCACGTGTCAAGCTTTGAATATGTCACATGTCAAATTGTCATCGATTGGAGTCTCACATTTATAAATAAGGATTTAATTACATTTGTTAAATTTATTTGACTCTTAACGTTAAGGGTGGTAGATAGAGGTGGCAACCGGATTGGTTTCGGGTTGGATTTTTTCGGTTCGGATATATTTTGGTTATATTTTATAATCGGTTCGGATCGAATCAGTTAAATTTCGGTTCGAATTTGATTCGGTCCTAAACATTTTTCGGTTCAGTTTGGTTTCGAGTCGGTTCAGATATGGTTCGGTTACAAATCGATTTGGATAGATTTCGGTTCGAATACAATTTGAGTTGGATATATTTCGGTTTCGGGTCTAGTTCGGTTTGGATATATTTTGGTTTCAGATCAAATATATTTTGGATATATATTATTTTCTAATTAAAATTTAACTATTCATGTTTCTTTTTATATTTTATCACATTTATCAATCTATCATCAAACCAATACCTCATATTATTTTATATTTTTTTTCTAATTATATTATCTCTACCCTAAATAATCTTCCCTTTTTGACTTTTTAGTCATATTTTACAAACTTGGACTACAAATTATGAAAACAAATATATTTAATTATGATATAAATTTAATATAATTAAATTGATTTTAAAATTTAGTTTTGATATATCAAATTTTTCTCACATTTACTAATATACTTATGTTTATAAATGATCGGATATAAGATAATTCAAATAGTATTATGTTCCATTTGAATACAATTTGGTAAAAATTGAGTAAAATTGGGTGAAATTAAGTGAATTTTATTCAATTGAGTGCAAAATTTACAAATTATTGAGTGTATTTGGTTGAAAATAGATAAAATTAAATTTATTAGATTCAAATATAATTAATTTTACACCTAAATGTAATGACGTCAAATTTGAAAATGATATCACTAAATATTGCCGCTAGAAAGGCTTTTCAAAATTCTAACACTAGCATCTAATTTTATTAACTAATATTGAGTGAATTGATTTGAAACTAATCAAATGAACTCTCAAATCAATAAAATTTATTGTAATGGAATGAAATTAGGATAAAATCTAGTTATTCTATACAATTTATCATATAATCATTTCGTCCCAAAAAGAATATCACACTTCACTATTTAAAAATTACGTAAATTTTATTTGTTTGTACGTTATCATTTATATGTAATTAGTATTTTTTTTCAAGAAGATAATCCATTTTATGAGGGAATGAGCAAGTAATGTAATTAATTCAAATGGTAAAATAAAAGTAAAAATTTAAAAATATAATATGCTTATTGAAAGGCAAACATAGTTATGAATTTATCGATTTTAGTTCTAATCGGGTTCGGATGTAATCAGTTTCGAATCTAGTCGGTTTCAGGTATTATCGGTTTCGGATCTAACGGTTTCGGGTTTAATTGGTTTGGATATGATCATTTTCGGATCTAATCGGTTTCGGATTTAAATCGGATATGAATTATTTAGATCGGTTTTGGTTCGATTCAGATCATTTTGGGTTTTCGGTTATAGATCGGATTTCATTTTTCGGATCATTTCGGTTTCGGTTCCGGATATTTCGGTTCGGATAATCGGTTTGGGTTCTGTTTTGGGATGGTGGCTTAGGACCGGATATGGTGGAAGAACCAGAGGATATCAAAATAGAACAAATGAAACCCACCCACCATGTGAATTGGGAAGGGATGACAAAGGGGAATAAGATGAAGCGGAAGGAGGTAATTCTCTCCCTTTCTCTCTCAAACTCTCCGCGCATCCATTCATAATATGTTAAAAATCCCTCTTTATGCTTCAGATGCTGGAAAAGAAGAAGCTGGTGGAGGAGAAAATCAGAGCTGCTTCTTGTGTGGATAACCATCTCTCCAGTTTTCCCACATTTCTTCATCACAACAGAAACGGTTCTTAATTTTCTACTGCAGCAATTTTCATTAGGTTTTTTTTACCTCATATCATTTTTCGGAAAACAGGATAGCCTTACACTGCAATTTGGGGAGCAGTTTAGTCTTGACCTGAACCAGTCTTGGAGTAAGTTTTAGCTGATTCGAGTTTGTTAGAATTCAATTAGATATTAGATCAACTATATATAGTCTTGGCTGAGGATTGTACGTGGCATTAATGAACTACTGTTAAGCAGCAATGGAGGACAGTCGACTGGAGGGAGCACCTCTGCTAACTCTGAAGGTAGGAGCCAATTTTGTATTAACCTTAAAACTGAGTTTCCTATTTTCGAAGTGAGAAATCCAAGGGATTGGATTAAGATATGTAGAAAATACTTTTCTCTGTGTAATATACATGATCATCATCCGAAGGTACAATTAGCAGCAATGCATTTGAAGGGAAAAGCAGAAATGTGGTTTAGCGTTTATGGACAAATAATAGCTAATATTGAATGGGAAGAGTTTAGTGTGGATTTAAGTGCACAATTTAATGTTGTTGAAGAATTCAATAGATTGTGTCAAACAAGATTTCTAGAGAAGTATGTCCACAAGTTTGAAGAATTAAAAGGTGTACTGCTTCAGGGAAGACCTGCAATGCCTGAGGAATATTTATTGGACAGTTTTGTTTCAGGACTCAAGGCGCGAGTTTAAGCATTTGCCAAAGCCTTCCCCCCTACATCTTTAACCAAAACCATTGGTTATGCAAGAGTGCAAGAGGAGACATTCAAGACCAGAAAACTTCAAGAGAACACTAGCAGATGCAGATAACAGATTCATGAAGATGAGCAGTTTGAAATGTCTGATTTTGAGTCACTAACTGACAGTGATCCATCCATATCTATACATGTCATCTCTGGAGGTAATGGATGCCAAACTATGAGGGTCACTGGATTTGTCGGAAAAATAGGCCCTGCAACTGTTGCTAGATCCAGGGAGTAGTGGCTGATGGTTACAACCTATATTTGGGCATACAATGGTTGAGCACTTTGGGTACTGTTAAGTGGAATTTTAAGCAACTCTGTATGGTGTTTAAGTATTTGGGCAGAATGCATAAAAACATCGGTACTGTTCAGTGGAGTTTTAAGCAAACTGTGTATGGAGTTTACGTATTTGGGCAGAAAGCATACTCTTAGGGGTGCAAAACAAAAGATGGGTACATTGAAGAGTGGCCAACTAACAAAAAAATAGGCTAGAATAACACCAACTTTGACAGCCCGGATGACAACTGTCTAGAAATTTGTACGCACACAAGATATTATCATTTGTGTTTCAAAGGTGATAATATCATGTGTGTACAAACTTACATATGATTGCCATCCATGCTGTCAAAGTTGTTATTCTGGCATTACCCAACAAATTTGTGCAACATAGCAGAAATATGCATGGTACAAATTCAAGAGGTGGACAACAATGCAGAACCCACTGTTAATCAAGGACTAAGGATGAATAAGGAAGCTGTAGAAGAAATTCCTCTACTTACTATTCAAATCCTTGAATAATATTCACTAGTCTTCCATACCTGATATATCTCGAACTAGGGGTCTTAACAGAGTTGTGGTTTTTCAGAGAGGAAATGTGATAATATGTTGAAGGCAAGCAAGAGGCGAAATGAATGGAGTGTGAAAGAGTTCTTTTTAATGGTTTTTAATATGAGAAAAGAAAGGAGGATCAGGAGAGAAATGGTGGGATTAGAAATGGCTAGAAATAAGTGTTGGATAAACCAAGTTGGTGTTAAGAGATATTACGCACTCTTCTCCTAACTTGGGGTTGAATCTAGTATTCAAATAAGATATAACACACTTATTTAAATAACTAGAACCTAAAACTCACACTTAAGGTAACCACCCTTAAGATATAGAATTAGGGGTTTAAAATAGCAAACACATAAGTGTATTACTGATGGAAATTTCAGATTCAAAAGTGAGTTACAACAATGGCCAATGGCCGATATAAATAAGCAAGCAAGAAAGGGGAAACTACCAAGTTCTTTCCTTAACAAATCTTTGACAATAATAATCAAATATGGAGTCCTTTCATGGGGGATGAATCAGGGATTTTGTGGGGGTGTTGGGTGACATTAGTTTGTGGTTTTTGATGGGGAAATATTAAGGGATGTGGGCTGTGTTTCTAGGCTGGGCTGGTT